TTTTAAAATTCTGATTTCTGAGCTGCATCCTCCGGAAATTGTTTCTTTGTTACTAATGTTGTGGCCCCACCCCATAATAAAGAACCAGAATTTCCGGAGGATGGGGCCCAGAAATCAGGATTTTAAAAAGATTCCCAGGTGATTCTAATGTGCAGCCAACGTTGAGAACCACTGGCATAAGGGATGTTGTTTTTTAAAATATATTTTTATTGAGAGGGAGGGATGGAGGGAAGGAGGGAGAGAGATGGGGGAAGCACCAATGATGAGAGAGAATCATTGATCGGCTGCCTCCTTTATTCCCCACACTAGGGATTGAGCCCACAATCCAGGCATATACCCTGATAGGGAATCGAACTGTGACCTCCTGGTTCGCAGGTGTGCCCGAAGGCGGGGCGGAACGAGATGCCCCCTGCCTACGCCCTGGAGCTGCTGACCATCTTCGCCTGGGGGCAGTTTTTAAAGCAGACCATCGTTTTGTGTGTGAGCGTTTTAGTGAGGCATAGCACATTCTGATGACTTGCTAGGGGCAGTTTTTTTAAAGCATACCACCGTTTTGTGTGTGAGCGTGTTAGTGAGGCATAGCACATTCTGATGACTTGCTAAGAAGTGAGCTCACCTGGGAACCCCCATTAGATCAAGGCAGAGTATCCCAGCACCCCGGGGGCTTCCCCTGTACCCCTCCCACAGGGAACCCCTTTCTGACTGTGATCATTACATTTAAATGGGACCATACAGCATGGGCTTTGGTGTGTGCCTTCTCTCTCCCAGAATTAAGTCTTTGAGATTCTCCGTACGGTTGCGTGTAGCAGTGGCTCCTTCTCTTCCATTGCTGAATAGCATTTCATTGTGTGAGTTTATCACAGTGTGTTTTCCATCCTGCTCACCACGCGTGTCTGGGCTGTTTCCACTCTCGGGCTCTGACGAAGAGGGCTGAGACTCACAGCATCGTATGTCAGGGCAGACACTGGGTCCTGGTATCTTGTGACTCTAACGTACAGGTGGGGTTGAGGACCATAGTTCTCATTTAATCTCAGACCAGGCCTATCAGACCAGGCTCCGCTGTGATCCCCATGTTGAAGGTGAGGGAACCGAGGCCCAGAGAAGCCAGTCACCTGCCTCCGGTCACACAGCTGGAAAGTAGCAGAGTTGAGATTGGAACCAGGTCGGCCTGACTCCAGAGTCCCTGACTTTGGCCGTCTTGCTAACCAGAATCTTCTTGTCCCTGTGGATTTGCAGGCCCGTGATCCTGGACCCAGCTGACCCCACGTGGGACGTGGGGAACGGGGCAGCCTGGCGCTGGGACCTGCTGGCCCAAGAGGCAGAGTCCTGCTATGACCGCCCGTGTTTCCTGCAGGCGACAGGGGGCGCTGTGCAGCCCTGGGAGGGGCCCGTGAGTGAGGGGCTCCCGGGACCCTTGGCATTTACACCTAACTTGTGTGCGTAGAGTTTTCTCTGCTGGAGGCCATGGGGTGTGGAACAGGGTTGAAAAGTGGGGACTGCAGGCATGTGAAACCGTCCAATCGCCCATCTTTGTGTAGTTATTGTCTGCTTACCAAGTGTCCCACCTCAGGGGGACCGTTTTATTTTTTTAATTAAATATTTATTGTTGAAAGTATTACATATGTCCCCCTCTTCCCCCCACTGACCCCCTCTAGCCTGCCCTGGGGGGAGTTTTTTATAATGTGTCCCCTTCATAAGGGCACCTCTTCTCATTTGCACAAGGCACCCTACAGGCTACCTCTCCCTTCCCCTCTCTGAGCCGCCGTCACCCTGACTGAGGTGGGGGGCGGGGGCTGCCAAGAGAAGGAACGTAGAACCCTGCCTGTGTAAGGCAGCTCCTTCCCCAACCTTCCAGGGCCTTCCACGCACTGGGCGCTCCGGTGTGGACCACCCCATCCTGCGAGACCCTGCCCAGAGGACCCCCACGGACAGCAGCAGCGTGGATGCTGGATGCTCCAGGGCAGGGGACAGGCGGCCCGTATGCCCAGCTCCCAGCCCCTCGGTGGACGGCATCGCCCCCGGTACACCGGAGGGGGTCCCAGGTCTGTCTCAGGTCCCCGCCAAGGAGCTGGACCGCTTCATCCAGGACCACCTCAAGCCGAGCCCCCAGTTCCAGAAGCAGGTGAGCAAGGCCGTCGATGGCATCCTGGGCCGCCTGCGGGAGAACTGTGTCCACAAGGCCTCGAGAGTCGGCAAGGTGAGCGGCAGGTGGAGACACCGAGGGGACCCGCCGGGGGGGCCGCCGTGGGGACGGGAGGGAGTGACAGAGACACAGCTGAGGGCGGACAGAGGAAGTGGACGTCATGGAGGGCAGTTTGCTGGGGGAGGGATATATGCTAGTGTATAAGAGCCAGCTGCTTTTTTTTAATGATAGTTTTTTTTTTAACCGCTATTACCATAATCAGATCACTTCCCTTCTCTGCACAAAACCCTCCAAGGTTTCAGAGAGGACAGGACAGGGGCCTCAGGCTTGGGGGTCTGGCCTGGTCTCTCTCTGCCCCTCACTCCACACTGGCCTCGTGGCTGCTTCTTGAGCTCCCCAGGCACACCTCCCCACAGCTGCTTTCTCTTTCTCGAACATTCTTCCTCCATCCACTTGGCTCTCTCCCTCTCCTGTTTGTGTGTGTGTGTGTGTGTGTGTGTGTGTGTGTAATTGATTTCAGAGCGGAAGGGAGAGGAAGACTGGAATAGAAACCTCAATGATAAAAGTCATTAATCAGCTGCCTCCTGCACACCCCACACTGGGGGTCGAGCCTGAAATTCAGGCATGTGCCCTGACCAGGAATCAAACCGTGACCTCCTGGTTCATAGGTCGGCACTCAACCACTGAGCCACACGGGCCGGTCCCTTCCCTCCTTTAAGTCTGTGATCCAAGTCCCCTTATTATTGGCCTCTACACAGCACTTAGGGCTTTTGGGGGGCTACTGTTTGCTGACTGTCCCTGCCTCCCCCTCCCTCTGCTCCTGGTACAATATAAGTTCCAGGAAAACAAGTAATTTTATCCACTCACATACCCATCTATGTAATTGCTCAATAAATATCTGTCGAATGCATGCATGCATGAATGAATGAAGGATTGAAACAGGCCAAGTACATCTGCAGACCCTTATGGGGCCAGGACCCCCATTTGCAAACTGTGATCCAGCTGTGCAGTCAGCAGGTGCTGCAGATGTTTGGCTAAAATCTTTGACTGCTGCCCTCTCCACCCAGCCGTCCCTGTTACCTGCTGCTGCACCTTGTCTGACTTTGCACAAGCTTCGTGGGCTGGAAGGCAGATGCCGTCAGATGTAGTCAGATGTAGCCTGACTCTGCGGGCCTCTGATGGTCAGAGGTCACAGCCTGCATCTGTTGTGGTGCCCCCAGAGCCAGCATCAGTGAGCGAGCAGTTCCAGGGCTGCAGATGGGGGGTTTTGGGGGGGAGTAGGGGGTCCCAGTCTGACTTAGAGTCACGCGTCTGAGAAGCTCTTTTCTCTGCAGGGGGGCTCATTCGGCCGGGGCACCGACCTCAGGGGTGGCTGTGATGCCGAACTCGTCATCTTCCTCAACTGCTTCGAGGACTACAAGGACCAGGGGTCCCGGAGGGCGGAGATCCTCGCTGATATGCGGGGCCAGCTGGAATCCTGGTGGAGGGATCCGGTCCCCGGCCTGACCCTGAACTTTCCAGAGCAGACCATGACCGAGGCGTTGCGGTTCCAGCTGATGTCCCCGGCCCTGGCGAGCTGGATGGACGTGAGCCTGCTGCCGGTCTTTGATGCCGTGGGTGAGGGGTGCCCGGCCTGTGCCTTGGGGGGATCAGGGAACATCGCCCGGGGCGCTTGCAATCCTCTCTGTGTCCCATTCCCCTACTTCACCAGCATTGGCACCACTCTGCGGTCCCTACAGTCCTGGTCATCATCAGCTCGTAACTATTTAGGGCTTTTAACTTTACAGAAGTTTTCATTATAAACTATTTCAAACACACAGAGAACTATAGACATCATATGACCGTGTACTCCAATTCCGATTTCACGAGTGTTAACAGTTAGTTCTCCATGTCTGCTTGGGATGGGTTGTTTTTTTTTAAAAAAAATTACGTGTAATTTCCTTCCTTTTTTTTTTGTTAATCCTCACTTGAGGGTATTTTTTCCATTGATTTTTAGAGAGAACGGGAGGAAGGGGTTGGGAGAGGGGAGAGAAAGAGAAACATCAATGTGAGAGAGACACATCGATTGATTGCCTTTTGCAAGCGCCAGGGCAGGTGATCAGACCTGCAGCCCCAGGATGTGCCCCGGCCTGGGAATCGAACCCACCACCGGGAATTGCACTGTGACCTCCTGGTTCATAGGTCGCTTATACCCCCAAAATATCAATTCTTTGGAATGTGTTAGCACTTCCTAAGTTTCCCATGGCCGAACAGAATGCATGCTTCCCGTTGGTGAATGCGGGCTTCTGTACAGACCCTTTAGAGTTAGCTTATGATCTGTGTTCAGATCTGTGTTACTTATTTTTTCTGTGTGTTTCCTATCAGTTTATGAATGGGCTCCCAGAATCTCCCGCTCTGGGTAGAGATTTGTCAGTTTCTCCTTGTAATTCTGTAAAGTTTTGATTTTAACACTTTGAGGCTATGTTATTAAGGAACATGTAAGAATATAATTATATTTTATTGGATTGTTCCTTTTGTCATCAAGTAATAATCGTCATTATTTCTAAAAAATATATTATTTGCCTTAAAGCCTTTGACCTGACATTAATAGAGCTGCCCTGGTCTTGGCAGTGTTTTCCTGAAATACCTTTTCCCATTTTTGATTTGTAAGGATATGCTATTAGATTTTAATTGTACCTCTTATAAGTAACGTAAAACTAGAAGACAAAAAAAGGAGCAAACATTAATAATATGATCATTTTGAGGGGGTTAGTAATATATTAGAACAAGCAGACAAGACACGAACAATAAGAAAGATTACTTTCTTTGCTTTTGTTTTTATACCTGTGTAAATTAAAACCTCTGCGCATAATTAGAAATATTTTTCCCCCTCACTAATGCTTCTTAGGTTCTAGTTCTTCCTCTGGATTCATTTCCTTCTTACAGAAATACACCCTGTAGTTCTTTTTCAGAAGGGGTTTCTAAGTGAGACATTTTCACAGACTTTGTCTAAAAAACCTTCTGTCTCGCCTCCCTCTTGGGGGAAATGTTGGACATTTGTTCTTCTCAGTTTCCACTGTCTTCTGGCCTGGATAGTTGTTGATGAGAAGTCGGCTGTTTACTTCTTCGTTGGGGTGTGTGTGTGTGTGTGTGTGTGTGTGTGTGTTTCCTTTTCGGTAGCTCTTACGACTTTTCTTAGTCCGTAGCACCCTTCAGTTTCTGATGTCTGCACGTTGATTTCTTGTTAATCATACTCTGGAATTTGTTGTGCTGAGTGAATATGAGGACGCGGTTCTTCCTTTAGTTTTGGGAAAATGCCTCCCAGTAGCCTTTCAAACATTGCTTCTCCTCTGTCTTCTCCGTTCTCTCCTTCGGGAACTCTATTCAATGGCGTCTCGCTCCATCCTCCACGTCTCTTCGCTCCCATCTTCCCATCTCTCGGGGCTGCCTGCTGCTCTGTCGCTCAAATAGATCCTCCAGCCTACTTTCTTCAGATGTGCCTGACCTGCTGCCTCAGCTTAACTTGTTCAAAGTCCCAGGGCCTCTGGCTTTCGCTTCCGTAAGTTCTAGGAGTCCTGATTGTTACTCTGTGCTCTAGATTGTGTGTCGTGGACCGCGATGTTATATATTTAACGTTTACATATTAGAGGCAGGTGAGCGGCTGGGCTGCGAAATGCCGCTGTCTTCCATGAGCCATGCATCCCCGGCATCTTTCAAACGCCCACAGGGCAGCTCAGTGCCGGCACCAAACCGGACCCCAAGATCTACCGGACTCTCCTGGACAGCGGCTGCCAGGACGGGGAGCACGCGGCCTGCTTCGCCGAGCTGCGGAGGAGCTTCGTGAACTCCCGCCCGGCCAAGCTGAAGAGCCTGATCCTGCTGGTCAAGCACTGGCACCGCCAGGTGAGGCCTCCCTACCCCTTTGCTCCCCCCGAAAACCCTCGCTGTCATGGCAACTGCCTCTGCCAGTCAGCTCATCCCCAACACAACGCCCCTCCTTTGAGTTTTATTGGCCATCCCAGCCAGAAGGACTGCCTCCTCCACCTTCATTCCCTGGTAGCCCCCCCACCTCCACCCCTACACCCCACACCCCCCGGCTGAGAGAGCATCTTCTCCATCAAGTCCCCAAATCCTCGTGTATCTTGTGGTTGGCGTTCCCCGCCCTCTCTAGCCTTCTCCCCTCACACTGCTGATGCTTCCCCTGCTGTTTCTCACCTTCAAGCCTTTGCTTATGCTGTTCCTCCATCACCATCTCCTTTGTAAGCTCTGCTAACTCCTAGGCATCCTTCAGAGCCCCCGCAGCAAACACTCTCTGAACGCCAACTCACTTATTCAACCGCCCTCTGCTGACCACGCACCGTTGCTAACTGGTTACGGGCGTCGAAATGCCACGATGACTGTGTAGCCGACCCCACTCCCGTTAGAAAGACGCTGGGCACAGACCAAGTCTGAGCTTCTCCATGACCTTAGACAGGTCACTGCCCGGCTCGGACCTCAGTTTATTCACCTGTAAAATGAGATGGGTGCACCAGGCCAGCCCCGAGGTTCTATTCTTCCTGTGTGTTGTGTTGTGTTGTGTTGTGTTTTCTATATTCCCCGCCTTCTCCAGGGAGGGCCATGCTCAGCGGAGAGTAAGTGCTCACTCCACTGACTCTTTGATTTGGGGGGGACATAGGTTGCTGAGCGGTTGGCCCATGCCTCCCTGCCCCCAGCCTACGCCCTGGAGCTGCTGACCATCTTCGCCTGGGAGCAGGGCTGCGGGAAGGACCGCTTCAACACGGCCGAAGGCCTGAGGACCGTCCTGGGGCTTGTCCAGCAGCACCGGCAGCTCTGTGTCTTCTGGACGGTCAACTACAGCTCTGAGGACCCAGCTCTCAGAGCGCACCTCCTCGGCCAGCTCCGGAAACCCAGGTGCACACCCACGACCTCCTCTCCGCCCTATCATCCTTCCCCCCACTGTCACCTGGAGCCATTGCATCCAGGAGGGGGCCAGGGTGGGGTTTGGGGGCCCCAGCCCCATCCTCGCTCTGCATCCTTCTGGAATCTTTGCTGAGGAAGCAATGGACACATGACCCCCAGAGGAAGCCAGGGCCACTTACGTTAATACAAGACAATCCCCGTCTCAGATTAAGGGGTCACCCAATAGCTTCCGGACCAAGGTGGCCAGGCAGGGACCCTGCTGTGAGTGGGCAAGATTGCACCAACCCTAAGGTGTCGACAGTCTTCTCGCTCTCCCCGCCCCCACACCCCTTC